TTTTCTCCATTGCTCTGTGACTTTGAGAAAATTAACTAATCTCTTTTCTACTTAGTTTACTCATTTGTAGAATGGGAATAATAATGCTACCTATCTCAAGAGGTTGTTGTTGGAATTAAGTGAAATAATTAGTATTATGTTCACACAACAATGACTGGCATATTCTAAATGCCCAGTTAAAGTTAACTATTATGATGATGATGAATAGTAGTAATTCTAATAGTTTTTTAAATTCTCATATTATCTGAGATTAACGTTATCTGAAAGTAACATTGATTTTATTTCTTTCAAGTAGTATACTCTTTACTTCTGTCTTGTATTCTGTTTATTTAACATATTATTACTATTATTTTTAATGCCTACTATGAGCCAGGCATACTCTTTAAATACCCAATATGCTGCACCAACAAGACAGACAAGATCCCTGCTTTCATGGAGCTTACATTCTTTGGATGTTGCCTGATGCTTTTGAACAATACTAAGTAAAAAAGATTATAATGAGTATTCTGGTCTTATTTTTATATATAATAATCATCCTTAGTAGTTGATCTCTAAGCATAATTTTTCTTATGTTATAAGACAAGTATTTATCATGCTAAGAAATATCTAGTTATTGATAGTGCTCATTCATTGTACTCAGTCAACACATGTCACCGAATGCCTATTGTATGCTAGGTGATGATACTCTGGGTGCTGGGTGTATAATGACAAACATGTACTCTCATGGAAAACAGTCTAATTAGGGAGATAAACCTTAATAAGATTTTTATATAAAATGTGTGATTATTAAAAACAGGTGTTGAATTTTATCAAATTCCATTTAAATATCTATAGATAATATTTTGTTATTTAAACTATTGAACTGATGCATTATATTAAACTTTTTTTTTATTTTTTGTAACCAAAAAAATATAGCATTTCAGTATAATAAGGATTTTCACAATTGTACTCCTGCACAAGACTGGCAAATAGTTTGTAAATAATCATTTGAATTTTATACAGCAAATTCTTGTTTGACATTGGGAGAATATTTTTTGATAATACTGGTCTGATCAAATTAGAAAAGTACAATTATTTGAGAGACTGTTCTTGAGGTTCATTTTTCTGTCTCTGCTCTGAGCCTCTCTTAATGCAGCTCCAACAGATTTGAATTTGTGTTCTTTTTTGAGGGCGGGAGGGAGAGGGGAAAAGAGAGAGATTGAGGGAGAGAGAGAGAGAAAGAGAGAGAGAAAGGGATATGCTGGCTAGGAATCAATATACTAGCTAACATTTTACTGAGAGATCACAATGGTGGTCATTGTTCTGAGAGCTCTCTATGTATTAACTTATTCATTCTTCAAACAGCTGTAGGAGGTAGGCAGTACTACTGTCATCTTTGTAAAGGTGAAGAAACTGAGGCACAGAGCCAAAGGCCTCAGAACTGGAAAGTGGCTGAATCAGGTTTTAAACCCAGGTAATCTGGCTTCAGAGCCAACATGCTTAACTACTCTGGTAGGTATATGAATCGAGATAGGTAGGTTATGGCATCACAACTAACATCAAAACTTAGCCTTTAACAAAACAAGATTGTTTCTTTCCCAAGTGAAGTGTGTGGTGGGTCTGGTGGCTCTCTAGAGTGGCAGTCCTCTGCCTGGTGGCTTGGATGGAATTCTAGGTGCATCTTCTGTTCTGTGTTCATTTTCCAGCAGCTCAATATAAACATTTGTATCTACAATCACCAGGTCAGGAAAGAGAGGGAACTTGGAGAATAACATACTGGCTTAAGCTTCTGCCTGGAGTGACACATCCCTTTTCAGAGTTCATTGGCTGAAGCAAGTCACATGGGTCAACCCTTACTTCCAGGGGCAGGGAAATGTAATCTTACATGCCCAGAGTAGAGAAGAACCAGCTATATTGTTGACAGCCCTGATGTCACCATGGTATGAACTTGTACTCTAGCTCTGCTATGGACTCACTATGTGACCTTCAACAGGTCCTTGTGCTTCCAATTTTAACATCTAGAAAATGACAACATCACTTTATTCAGTTGGTACCTATTATATGTTGAGCACTTACCATGTGCCAGGCACCCTAGGACCCTGGGACAACAATAGTAAACATGGTGTAGTCTCTGCGCCCGAGCCATCTACAAGTTAATGAATACCATACTATTGACTTTCAGTTCTAAAATACCAGAATTTTATTAAAAAGTAGCAGTAATAACAAGCCTTCTAGCATTATGTTCTAGAGACTCAGCCATTTTCTCAGCAGTTTCCCCCTTGCTGAATCCACTTAGCTACAGCATCCACTCCATCACACCAGCGGTACACAAACGCTCATCATTTTCAGCCTCTAGTGTAGGTATACGCTGTTCACGTAGTAAAAACTAAAGCAGTCTTTGGACCAGTCCCGTAGTGATTTTGAGTTTAGTGGGCAGAACACTTCATAAAAAACAGAAGCGAATCAGTCTGATCGGGAAATACCTCGGCAGAGAACTTTGCCAAACATTGTACATTCCAGACAGTAAGGATTTTTTCTGTTACTTATGACTAAACCAAATTATAAAACTTTAAAAAATTTGAAAACATTTTGCTTTACAGTTAATTTTTCCCTAGAGGACTATTTATTGGTCTCAAATAGGAGAAATATGAATAAGTATACGTATGAGCATGCACAAATCTGGTCTGCCAAGTTTTTAAAAATCTCTTAGGACTTGAAGTGGCTTGCCAATTTTTAACTTACTAGTTGCCTCTAGTCAATATACAGTTCACAATGAAAAATTTATAAGAATTTGAGGCATTGTCTCTAAATATGATGCACCAGCTTAAAATTTGAGTGAAATATACAAAGAATTCCATTCTACTTCGCACTGGTGCAATTGTGGTGTTTCCTTCAGTTTTCAATACTGCATTCCCAGTTCTTAATCCAAACCCAAAAAGTAATGACACAACAGTTGAATGTGTCTTACTCAAATAAACTTCTGGTTAATCACACCCATTTCCCACCCTTTTACAAGACTTTAGCACTTGAGAGATATTGAGTTAGTTTCACAATATAACAGTTTTTGTCCAATTTGCTACTCATTTGTACTTTGGACTTATTCAATATTGGCATGTTTGTTCCCTTCTCAACAGTAAAACAAGGGCCAGACCACGATCATATACTCTCATAACCTTGATCATGTACGCTCATTAACTCTGGTTTGCTCAGTAAGCATCCAATGCTTCTTTCTGGGTTTTCTTCAAGGCAAAATAAGAATAACCAAGATTTTGAGTATGGCAAGGGCTTAGAGAAGCTGGTGATGTTTACTAAGGAGAGATCAACAACCTTTCTCTATCCTCGTTATGCACATTCTGTTCTCCCTGAGTAATCCAATCTACTGTCATGATGTCAAGTGCTACCTTTTGTCTCCCAAATCCACATCTCCAGTCCTGTTCTTCCGAAGGTCCATTTCGCCACCGTCACCACCTGGCTATCTACACAAACAACTCAGACTCAAAACACGTGAGCCAGAAAGCTGTATCTTCTTTCCCCACAGCGGCTTCTTTTGTGGTCTCTCTTTTCCAGGACGGTGCCATCACCCATTTAGCCATGAGAGGCACCTGAAGTCATCCCTGGTTTTTCATCTTCCTTATCAGGCACCAAGTCCTGTCGATTCTACTTCCTTAATAATTCTTGAATTGTCTTCTTCCTACAACTTCCAGCTTTGAGCTTTGCTTCAGGTATTCACTTCCTACCTGATTACAGTAACAGCCTCCTAAGTAGCCTTCCAGTCTCCAGTCAGGTTTTCTCCCATCTTTCTCTCCATACCCAGGCCTGTAACTTTCCTCACATGCAAATGTCCACGTCAGTGTACATCCACTTCCAATTTCATTCTGTTGACTGGATGGGTGTTGTTCCACGTTCTGGTCCTCTCCAACGTTGGGGGCCTACTTGGGAGGTCTCAGGCCACTGTGTCCTGAGAGTTATGCCTGTTTCAACGCTCTTAAAATGCTCTGTGCCTCAAATCATCATCGCCTGCCTCAGCAGAGCTCTTTCACCCTGACTATACTCTGTCTCTTCCTGCTCATCATCATTGTTTTGCTTTGTGATGACTGCAGAGGAAAAGGGGATGATGAGAGGAAGTACAGAGGGAAGAAATGAAAAGAACTGAAAAGCCTGGAGCCCAGTTCCCTGATGTGCTTTCCCTTTCAGTCCATGGTCTTCTTTTGTAACATGTTTTCTATTGCACTGTGTGTATAGTTTTTGAGTGGCTTTGAGTGGGTTGTATTATGTCAGAATTTGAGCTTCAAACAGCAGCGTCAAAGTTTAGTTAAGCTACTCCATTTTGTTTGGCCGAGCAGCCTGTGGGAGCCTTAAACTGACGCTAGCCCCCTAATGCCAGTGTGTGTCCCGAACAACAGCCGGCAGAGTCACAAGCAAATGTAGATTTCTGATGTGACTTCCCCAACAGCCCCATGATCAAGTTTTCCCTGCTCCACAGGCCCTTCACCTTGGGTGCCCATTTAATAAGACTTTTGTGGGGCTTAATGAAAACTCCATTCTTTACGTTCGGATTGAGCAATCTGGCCTTAGCTTGGGAAGCCCAAAGCACTCTCTCCCCAGACTCAGATGAAGGCATGTGCCCCAGGTCCTGCCTCCCTCTGTCTGCAACTTCCCTTAACCTCTTCAAGTGGCCTCTCAAGGCCTGCTATGTACTTCCTCCAGGACCTGTGAGTAATAAACTTATCTATTTCAATTTCTCTTTGGTCTTTTGTTGAATGGGGCTCACCATCTGGCACCCTGCATGCCACTTAACAAATCATGATGTAGCAAAGTCACAACAGGCGGTGGTAACCCTGTCTACTGATCTTACTCTACCCCAAGTCCACTGTATGACTTAATAAGTGATGTTTTTAAGTAATAAAGAAAAAGGTAAAAGAAAGAAGGAAAACATCAAACTGTTGAGAAAAAGGCAAACGGTTTCAAGATAATCGTGAATTTTAGTTTAAAATAACATATCCTGGGGAAGAGGCATTTACCTTTTGCTGCGGAAATGTGGACTCCATCATGGCTGCTTCAAAGCTGTGAGCACCGGCTGCCTGGGTCTTCTCCCACAGAGATCTGAGAAACTGCACAGAACGACTCTGTATGGACAGGGGCTCTGGAAATAGGCTCTGAAAGGGCATTAATGAGAAAAACATGTTATCTCTTGTCACAACAGTATTGTTTGATTGACTACAATGCACTATTTGGGCTTGGCCTGAACTTGAACATGGTTTAAATTTAAATAAAACAACAAAGAAATGCATCTTGAAGATCAAACATACGATACATTTTAGGCTTTTCCTTTTTTAACAGAAAAATTAAAATGATTGAAAAGGATTTTCAAGGCAGTTGATATTGATCTCTATCAATATGCCTAACCTTTGTGACATAGTATTTACTGCTATCATTTCCGAAGCCTGTTCTCTAATTGGAAGATGATTAATATAAATATTCATATTTATTGTTCAAAGCTCTGAGAATTAAGGTATAGAGTTAAATCTGAAGCACAAATATCAGAGTTGATTATAACACTGGAAATTAAACAATTGAGTGTTCATTTTGCACATACTTGAACATGAACAGTATGAGTGGGTATGTGGGGAATAAAAACACTTTTAATCCTGAAATATATAATGAGTGAATATTCCTAGAGCTTTAAGATCTTCTAAATTTTAGGTAATAAAATCATTAATGTAAAGAAAATCACATTTATATATATTTCACTCAAGCTAATGAAAATAAAATTTTCGAAGATTTAAATTGTATTTGTATATTTACTAATCAATTCTGTGTTTAATATTTACTTACATGTTTTGATGTTATACCTAAAAATGTGAGAAGCATTTGAAGTCAAGGGAACAATTTTATAAAAACATAGAACATATTCAACTTCTGGCCAAGATGGAGGCGTAGGTAGACACACTGTGCCTCCTCACACAACCAAAAGAAGGACAACAATTTAAAAACAGAAAACAACCAGAACTGACAGAAAATTGAACCGTATGGAAGTCTGACAACCAAGGAGTTAAAGAAGGCACATTCATTCAGACCTGCAGGAGGGGCAGAGATGGGCAGCCAGGCAGCGAGGACTCATGGAAAAGCCACAGTGGGAGGACCCAGCGAGGCGGCAGATGGTGGACTGGGTGGTCCCACATTCACGTGCAGATAAACCAGGAGAAACAACTGGGGAGTGGGATGGACTGCACAACCCAGAGCCCCAGCTTGGGGAAATAAAACCTCAAACCACTGATTGAAGACACCTGTGGGGGTTGAGGCAGGGCTGTGGGTGGGCGGGGAGAAACTCCAAGCCTCACAGGAGAGTTTGTTGGAGAGACCCACAGGGTCCTAGAGCATACACAAACACACCCACCTGGGAATCAGCACCAGAAGGGCCCACTTTGCTTGTGGGAAGTGGGGGAAGTGACTGAAACTGGCAGAGAGCAGAGCAACCACCATTGTTCCCTCTTGGACCCCTTCCCCACAGACAGTGGCACAACACAGCGATTGGGTTGCCCTGCCCTGGTGAACACCTAAGGATCTGCCCCTTACTACGTAACAGGTGCGCTGAACAACAAAAAAATGGCCCAATGAAAGAACAGATCAAAGCTCCAGAAACAATACAACTAAGCAATGAAGAGATAGCTAACCTATCAGATGCACAGTTCAAAACACTGGTAATCAGGTTGCTCACAAAATTGGTTGAATTTGATCGCAAATTAGATGAAAAAATGAAGGCTACTCTAAGTGAAATCAAGGAAAATGTACAGGGAACCAATAGCGATGGGAAGGAAACTGGGACTCAAATCAATGGAGTGGACCAGAAGGAAGAAAGAAATATCCAACCAGAAAAGAATGAAGAAACAAGAATTCAAACAATGAGGAGAGGCTTAGGAACCTCCAGGACATCTTTAAACGTTCCAACATCCTAGTCATAGGGGTGCCAGAAGGAGAAGAGGAAGAGCAACAAGTGGAACAGTTATTTGAACAAATAATAAAGGAGAACTTCCCCAATCTGGCAAAGGAAATAGACTTTCAGGAAGTCCAGGAAGCTCAGAGAGTCCCAAAGAAGTTGGACCCAAGGAGGAACACACCAAGGCACATCATAATTACATTAGCCAAGGTAAAAATGAAGGACAGAATCCTAGAAGCAGCAAGAGAAAAGGAGACAGTTACCTACAAAGAAGTTCCCATAAGACTATCAGCTGATTTCTCAAAAGAGATCTTATAGGAAAGAAGGGGCTGGAAAGAAATATTCCAAGTCATGAAAGGCGAGGACCTACATCCAAGATTGCTCTATCCAGCAAAGCTTTCATTTAGAATGGACGGGCAGATAAAGTGTTTCTCAGATAAGGTCAAGTTAAAGGAGTTCATCATCACCAAGCCCTTATTACATGGAATGTTAAAGGGACTTATCTAAGAAAAAGAAGATAAAAAGTATGAACAGTAAAAGGACAACAAACTCATAGCTATTAACAACCACACCTAAAACAAAAACAAAAGCAAACAACTAGAACAGGAACAGAATCACAGAAATGGAGATCACATGGAGGGTTAGCAACAGGGGAGTGGGAGGAGGAGAGAGGGGGAAAAGGTATGGAAAATAAGTAGCATAGATGGTAGGTAGAAAATAGACAGGGGAAGTTAAGAATAGTATAGGAAATGTAGAAGCCAAAGAACTTATATGTATGACCCATGGACATGAACTAAAGTGGGGAATGTGGATGGGAGGGGGCGTGCAGGGCAGAGGGGAGTGAAGGGGGAAAATGGGACAACTGTAATAGTATAATCAATAAGATATATTTAAAAAACCATAGAACATAAAGGGAATAAAATATTATTTATATACATATAAAACCATAGATAGTATATTTTAGATTGAGGTATGATAAAATAATGATACTGGCTTATAAAATCCTATTTTCTATCACAGTGATATTTAAGCATTTACTTATGAGAATCTCTTGGTAGTTTGTATATGAAATGTTTGTATTTAGTAAATAAAAATTAATACATTTTTTTCCAGAAATACATCATTATTATCATTAAGATGAGCTGTTTTTTGTACAGAGTGGGGAAAGGTGAAGAATTTTATACTCTGGCCCTGGCTGGCGTAGCTCAGTGGATTGAGCGCGGGCTGGGAACCAAAGTGTCCCAGGTTCAATTCCCAGCCAGGGCACATGCCTGGGTTGCAGGCCATAACCCCCAGCAACCACACATTGATGTCTCTCTCTCTCTCTCTCTCTCTCTCTCTCTCTCTCTCTCTCTCTCTCTCTCCCTCCCTAAAAATAAATAAATAAAATCTTAAAAAAAAAAAAGAATTTTATACTCTGAATAAGTGGTCCACAGATTAAAAAAGGCCAAGAGCCAGTAATAGTTAAATTGATTATGCAACTATAATGTGGACATACCTTGGAATTTCTTGATTGTTATCAGAAACTTATAAGCACATGATTTTTTATTTAAAGAAAAGCAGAGCCTGATTTTATTAATCACCAATCCAAAGGAGCAATTAAGCTGAAATGAATGAATTCGAGAGCTCCATGAATGCGTTACATTGACAGAGAAGAGCGTCTGGCCCAGCACACAACGTTGGGTTTATAATTATCAAATCAAAGATTTGATTTTTATTCAAATCTTTTGTTGATAGTGTGAGGTCGAAGCTTATCCAGATCACACAATATTAAAGGTGTGGAAACAAAAGGAATCATTACAGTAAAATGAGCAAAGGAGAAAAGCAGTATAAACATGATTTTTGGTGATTTTGCTTACAGAGAAAGACAAAGAACCAGACTAAGTCAATAAAATAAGGTAAAGGGGCAAAAATAAAAGCAAGTTTCCTTGATTTGTTTTCAGGAAACTGACAACTGTTAAAAACAAAGCCAAAGATCAAACCAAGTATAAAATCACTGATGAAACAATTTGAAAACTGTAAATAAAGTAAGTAAAGAAAAATAAGGTCATTCTTTTAAGAAATGGAAGAAAAATCAGTGCTGGGTTTTGTTTTGTTTTGTTTTGTTTTTTTGTATTCCAATGTAGTTTGATTCACATCAAAATGTGAGTTGTTCTCTCTACAATATTAGTAAGTCTAATAGAAAAAGATGGTAGTCTTAAGTCTTAAGGCACGTCTAAGCTGTCTCTTTTCTTAATTACTGTTGTTCCATTTTATGATATATTCAGCTGACTTTATTTATAAAAATACAATTATTTGGTTGGTGACTTTTGTAGGGGCTATTATAAAAATATTTTATTAACGTAAGGAAATAAACGATCTTACTACTTGGCCTAATTGTTAATCATCTTATAACATTTGAATTCTGTTCCTTTCCAATAACCCCCTGTCTTACCTTACCTGCCTGCATCCACTCATTTTATTTTATTTTTTAACACATTTGCAACAGTCAAGAGGTGACTAGATCAGGAGACAGATGGTCTGAATTCTGCCCTTCAGTTTTCTTATCTGTAAAAATGATGTCTAAGATCTCATCTATTACTAACATTTTATATTCTATAAACAAGTTTTATGTAAAAACTTAATGCACTTAAGATAAATACTTCCAAATAAGAATCTCTTCTGATGCTAAAATATTTGCATCAAATTTTGTATTTAATCTTTATTGTATATTTTTCCTGTTACTATTTAGACCCCTTATACTCTCCCCCCCAGCAATCTGCATCAAATCTTTTATTGTTAAGTTGAAAGTTCCTCATTATGTAATTTTGCCTATATACACATACTTTGTGGAAAAAGTAGCAATTGCAGTATTTTAAAATGTCATAAAGGATGTATTGACATACAAATTAACTGGAGATTGGAAGACTATAAATAAAAGCTAGCTCTACATAATGAAAGCCATTTCCCCAAATAACTTTTTTTATTTGTTTAGCAAAAAGTATATTCCCTTTCATTCTCTCTTTTTAATAGATATTATTAGGGTTGGCTTCCTGATTAGTAAATCAGGACTTCTTATAAGGAACATATTCTAAAATATAAAAAATCCTTATTAAAAATTAGTGATGAAATGTGTATGTATTGCTGTTACCTCCATACCAAGTTTGGTCAAAGGAGATAATTCAGTAAAAATGCTTATGAACTCATACCGCATGACACACTAAGGGGCCACGATGAACTTAAATCATACACACCTGCTGGAACAGAAACATGATCTGGATCCACGGCTGAGGCTCTGGGCTGATGAGAATGAAGCTGGACTTACTGTACAGGCAGTAATGGCCCTTCAGAGAGCAGGTGAAGAACAGCTTGGCTACACAGCTTCTAACGGAGTCTAGAAACAAATACACATAGTGTTGAACATTCAATTCTTCTCCGAGTTACACTTGATATTTCAACACACACACACAGTTTTAGAGATACATTCCTCAGTTTTCAGTCTGTCAACTAATACCTCCAAACAACTGTGTATTTTGGAGTGGCTCCGTTTCATGGAATGTAAATTTAAATGTGGATGCTTTTTAAAATTTGTTTATGCAGTTTTTTGATAATTAACAATGCATGAGGAATCTCCAAGGAAACTCACATGGAAGAGAGAAATCTCTCTCGAATCAAACGGGAGATACTGCCATTTCTTTCCAGTTGGGCACCTGGAAATGATAATCTGGGAAGAATAAGCAAATGGGTGGAGGAAACCCAGATGTCTTTTAGATGGTGGATGGTATGTCATGAACCAGGGACACTATTCACTTGCCTGTGCAGGGGCCACACAGACAGCTTCCAGAATAACTCTCACCAGAGGTGTGGCTTCCTGTGGAGTGGCCTGGTCTGATTTGAAAAGGTCATTTCATCTTGAAGAGCTTCAGTAGGGAAGCTTAATGAGGTCATCTTTCAGGGACAAGAAAGTGGGGGAAGGTGGTGGTGGTGAAGTAGAGCGGAAGTGGTGAGAAGTTCTAGGTAGGAGGAGCCATTTAATCTTTAAGTCCTACAGGATGGGCATAATTATTTCTAGTTTGAAAGATGAAGGAACTTAGCCCTTTTGAGGGTCACCTTAGTGAACCACTCTGACTGCCTCGCTCAGCACCGTGACCTTGGTACATGACACATAATACGTGTTCCACAGGGAATATCGGGATGAATGAATGATGCTCAGGGGTCCAGGAAATATTGCTGAAGGCTGCCTAATCTGTGGCAGAGGCAGGATGGGAACCCAGCTAGGCTGATGCCATGTTGGAATGCTTTAGGCACTACCATACTGGGGATCTTAGAATCTGTTGTTCATGGAGTATTTCTTGTGGAATTCATATGACATTTTACATGAAACATTTTGAAGATTAATAGATTCACTATGCCCTACTGTTAAAAATGGAAGTGGATCAGAGTTTGTGAAAAGTGTATAGGGACGCTAATAAGGTGAAAGAGTCAGTCCCTGATTGTGCATATCAGGGGTCAGGTGTGAAGACATAACAAGTGTTTCAGGAAGAGTTTGGAAGCTTTCAAGTAGAGTGGCCAATGAAATCTTAATAATATTAACAGCTTTTTGTGATTCTGAAACTTTGGTATGAAAGACAGCTAGTTTTCAGGAAGTTAATTGTTTTGGGAAATTAAACAAATCTTGGGTTGAGCATTTGATATCCTTGTTTAAAACAAGAAATTATTCCTGCATTCTGGGCATGAATGGATCATGAGATGTAAAGAGAATTTGAAGGTTCAGTGGAAAAGGCCAGGAAGCCTGGCTCTGAGAAATAAAGAAAAGGAAGGAAGGGAGGAAGGGAGGAAGGGAGGAAGGGAGGAAGGGAGGAAGGAAGGCAAGCAGACATCAAAATAGAATGCAGCATAGTATTGGCTTAAAAACGCCCAATCAGAAATTGTTTAACAAGGGTAATAAGAAATATATTTTGACACTGATGCTCTGAAAAATGGAATTTAAATTATTCTATACCAGAGAAATAAGAAACCAAGTCTATCATAAGAGCATCCCAAAAATGATATTTGAAATAAACCTAATGTATGTTGACATCGAGATAGCAACATGTTTTGCTTTAGTAGAAAGTTTCAAAGCAGAGTTCTTTTCTAAGAACCCAATGCAGTGGCGCATCAGTTGCAAGCTGGATTTCAGGTCTCTGCCATGAAAAAAAGTTTTTGTCTATTTCCTTCACTGAATTCTTACTGAGCATTCATGTTTTCTTTTGAAGATGAACATTGCTTTGATTTATTTACTCACCCTGGTCTACCAGCTTTCTATACACAAACCACAGGGGTCCCAGGTCACATTAAATTGCCAAGCGGGTAGAGGAGAGACCTTTAACTTAGAAGCATACACACTGGCTGGAAAAATAAGTCAGTTCTGTGATAGAAGGTTTCTGTTAATACTTTTAGTAAAGCTGACCTGTATCAATATTTTTCTTCTCATTTTTTTCCCAGAGCTTTCCTGGCTTGAAACGTTTCCCCCATGGTATTAACATTTAGTTGTTACTTTTTCTCTGTAATTTTATCCCTCCTGTTCATTTAATGGTAGTGAATGGTAAGCAGCAATAAATGGTTGTTGAATAAATGAATGAATGTCAGAAACCGTGTGAGAGCAAGCCGGGCCATGATGTGGAGCCTACTTGTAAGAAGCTTACAGCCCAATAGGAGAAATGCCTATAAACAACATTATTTATAAACATCAAGAAATAACATTTATAAAAAATTGTTTTAAGTCCATGAGATTATGAGGGGCACACTCTAACGACCACTCAGAGAAATGAGCAACTTATTACATTGAGGAGGAGACATCTGAGGTGAACCCTAAAAGATGACCATGATTTTAAACTTAGAAAAAGTGTGAGGAAGACAAGCATTTTAAGTGTAGGGAACACCCTAAAAAAATCACACAAGGCGTGAGTGTTCAGGGTAATTCCAGGTAGTAAATTTAGTACATATGGGTAATTAAGATTTGGTTTACTCATACAATTGATACCCAAAGGGTTGTTTTTTGCCTTTTTTTGGACTGATGGGAAGTGAGAGAAGATCAGATGGGAGAACAATCACTGACAGTATCTACATAAAATTATTTTAAGTCCATGAAATAATGTAGTTTTGGGAGGAAAACCACAGAGGTAAGGGGACATTTCATTAACTTGACTTATGAGTATTGATGTTGATCTTGATCACCTGGCTGAGGTAGTGTTTACCTGTTTCTCCACTGTAAACTTACTCCTTTCCCCCAACTTTGCCCAGTGTACTCTCTGACAGGAAGTCACCACGTGCAGCCCACACTTAAGGAGTGGGGAGTTTACTTCACCTTCTTTAGGGAAGAATAGCTGCATAAATTATGTGGACTTTTGCACATATTTGTCTCTTCCTCCTCCAGCTATTTCATTCAAATGATTTCATTAACTGTTCTATCAGTATGTACATATGGGTACTTATTACAAAATTCAATACTATTTCATTTATTTCTTTTCACTCTCATTGTTCTGGCTTTGGCCATCAGTGGTTCTTTCAGTTGACTCCTGTGTCCATGTGATGTGCCCCCCCTCATTGTGTGTGTGGGGTATAATTTTTTTTTGAGTACTTATTTATTTTTCCTGGATTTAAAATGATCCTGTCTCATTTTGCATGTTTCCTGACTCTGTCTTAGGATCAGCTGTTTCTCCGAGGAGCTCTCCTTCTATTGGAGAGGTACTGGAAACCAAGATCTCGGTGCTAGGTATGCCTGCTGCTACTGGAGTGTCACTGCTCCTTGGCCCTCTCAGATAACAGAGCCAGGAAATCATATGCGTACACTAATACTTGTACGGACACATTTTTCTATGTGCAACTATCTGTTGCATAGTTCATATTGATGAACTGTGAACAGAAGTTCACACTGATGACTTCAATTCTAATTCTTTACCATGTGGGTAGTTTTAGCCTTGCTTATTTATAAATCCCACATCAACAGGGAGAAGCCCGGCTCCCTTTCTGTTAGTATTTTTATCTCTGTGCACTGCAGAAGGCAGAATTTCTCTTCCCCTCTCTCTCTATCTCTTTGTCTCCTTCCTACCTTCCCTTAATGTCTTCTTCTCTTCCCTTTCTTTGCCCTCTCTCTCCTCTCTTTTTAAAGAATCTTTGTGTATTTAGCATCTACCATAGCGGTGCTTGGCATAGAGAGGCTTCCTTCAAAACATACTAATAACATTTTATTACACTCTCCCTGGTTCCTTCTGGAGTGACAAAGATAAAAACAGTAGGATATTCTCATGAAAATAATCGAATACTATTAATTTGGGTTTTGAAATTTTATTTCATTTTGATCTATATACTCCACATGGTCATATCTAGCATGAAAGATACAGCTATTTATTAATGTGAACATTGTTTTTTAGTTCGGCCACTTGTATTTTAGTTGTATTCCAGATGCCTATTATGCTGTGATCTTGGTAAAAACAATAACAACAACAAAAAAAACTTCTGTATTGTTTCATGGTTGTAAAATGCTAAAAGAAACCAAAACATGAGGAATGTTGAGAGTATGCCAATTAACATTTTGGGAGACATTCTAAAATTAGAAAAAAAATCTTAAATCATGAGGTTTCAGAAAGGAGTTATAATTTTATAATAATATTTTAAAACTCCAGTGAAAACTCTTAATTAAGCAAAATCATAGTCAAAAACAAAAGTAAGATTTTAGCTTAAATATATGTGTGAATTACTTAAAATGTTAGAGAAAGTTGATGTGTGGAATAACTAATATTAGTGTTTACATTTATACCCATCACTCTGTTAGAAGTTTTATATAATTATCATTTTATCCTCATCATTATCTATTATTATCTCTATTTTCAATTAAGAGGTTAAATGGCCAGAGAGTTAAGTGACTTAATGGAAGTAAGATGCAGAACCAGAATTTGGACTCAAGTTCATCAAAATGTAAGACCTATGTTTTTTCACAAAGTGATACTACCTCCTCCACAGTCACATTGTCTAATGGACTGGAACATGCCTGTAATTTCTGTGAGGATGGGATGGAAAATCCAAAATAAATTGTCTGTTTTTAACAAGACCACATAAGTTGTTCAGCCTGAGTAAAATAACCCAAGACATTAATTTTTATGCAATTACTATATAGTCAGCAAAATTCACTAACCTGGTAATAGGACAAATCTTTTTATGTCTAAGGAGCCCTAGCAAATCTATAAAGAGAAGCTTTTTATAGGCCTTTGTGAAATGGGAACAATTGGCTCTTTTTATCCTTAAATATGGTAGGAGAAAGTGTGGGGGGGGTTGGAGCCCAGAAGAAATAACCGAAATGAGTAGGCTCAGAGTGCCTTCGAGGTGAAGAAAGCTGTGGAATTAGGTAAAGGGAGG